GAGCACAGCCTAGGTGCCTGGGAGGGTGGACTAGGATTTGTTGCACCTCCTGAGTTTTGCAGATTTGTCCTCAGATTCTGCCGCTGGAACTGTGTTAGTGGAGGGTGAGACGGCTGTAGATGTCTTCCTCCTCCACTTCCTTCCTCTCAGCCTCTCTCTCTCCCTTCCTCTCAGCCTCTCTCTCTCCCTTCCTCTCAGCCTCTCTCTCTCCCTCCCTCTCAGCCTCTCTCTCTCTCCCTCCCTCTCAGCCTCTCGCTCTCCCTCTCAGCCTCTCTCCCTCCCTCCCTCTCAGCCTCCCCCTCCCTCTCTCTCTCTCTCTCATCTATGAATTATTTTTGTATTGTTCCAGTCACTGTGTTATGCCTTTTTGTTTTTCAATCTTTATTTTAGATATTAAAATATTCTTGACTGGTAAAGAAGAATAAACGCACAACAGCGTGACTGGAACAATACCGATAACCCGCACACAAGAGGAGCCTACGACGACGTTTTGGTCCGACTTGGACCATTTACAAAGTCACACTAACAGAAAAAGAGTGAGGTAGCTACCTCACTCTTTTTCTGTTAGTGTGAGTTTGTAAACGGTCCAAGAGTGAGGTAGCTAGAATCCCCTTAAGCCAGAATAACAAAGACACAAGAGGGGAAAAAATGAACAAAATCATTAGACAAAAGAGAGAAGGAGAGAGAGAAAGAAAGAGCAGCCAGAGTCAGAGAAGTGGCTCACTTGTGGCCAACTTTCTATGAAACATTACATAGCAGAAATTACCTGGTCACCGCGTGGGCAACACTGGAGGTACCTGGTAAATATTACTGACTTCCCAACAACTCTGGCTATCATGGGAATATTTCTAAGTCCCAGGGAATATTTTTCAGCAGCAGGGAATATTTCTCAAAGGCTTTGAATATTTCTCTGTGCCAGGGAACATTTCTCAGCGGCAGGAAACACTCCCAGCCGCAGGAAACACTCCCAGCCGCAGGAAACATTCCCAGCCGCAGTTAACATTCCCAGCCGCAGGAAACACCCCCAGCTGCAGGAAACACCCCCAGCTGCAGGAAACATTCCCAGCCGCAGGAAACATTCCCAGCCGCAGGAAACACTCCCAGCCGCAGGAAACATTCCCAGCAGCAGGAAACATTCCCAGCTGCAGGAAACATTCCCAGCTGCAGGAAACATTCCCAGTGCAGGAAACACTCCCAGCCGCAGGAAACACTCCCAGCCGCAGGAAATACTCCCAGCCGCAGGAAACACTCCCAGCCGCAGGAAACACTCCCAGCCGCAGGAAACACTCCCTGCAGCAGGAAACACTCCCTGCAGCAGGAAACATTCCCAGCTGCAGAAAACACTCTCAGCCACAGGAAACACTCTCAGCCGCAGGAAACACTCCCAGCCGCAGGAAACACTCCCAGCAGCAGGAAACACTCCCTGCAGCAGGAAACACTCCCTGCAGCAGGAAACACTCCCTGCAGCAGGAAACACTCCCTGCAGCAGGAAACACTCCCTGCAGCAGGAAACACTCCCTGCAGCAGGAAACACTCCCTGCAGCAGGAAACACTCCCTGCAGCAGGAAACACTCCCTGCAGCAGGAAACACTCCCTGCAGCAGGAAACACTCCCTGCAGCAGGAAACACTCCCTGCAGCAGGAAACATTCCCAGCTGCAGGAAACACTCTCAGCCACAGGAAACACTCTCAGCCGCAGGAAACACTCCCAGCCGCAGGAAACACTCCCAGCCGCAGGAAACACTCCCAGCCGCAAGAAACACTCCCTGCAGCAGGAAACACTCCCTGCAGCAGGAAACATTCCCAGCCAAAGGAAACATTCCCAGTCAAAGGAAACACTCTCAGCCGCAGGAAATACTCCCAGCTGCAGGAAACACTCCCAGCCGCAGGAAACACTCCCAGCCGCAGGAAACACTCCCAGCCGCAGGAAACACTCCCAGCCGCAGGAAACATTCCCAGCCGCAGTGATGTCGGCCACAGCACCGTGTCTTCCTTTGCAGATGACACCCGAATCTGCATGACAGTCTTCCATTACAGACACTGCAAGGCTCCAGGCGGACATCAACCAAATCTTTCAGTGGGCTGCAGAAAACAATATGAAGTTCAACGATGAGAAATTTCAATTACTCCGATATAGTAAACATGAGGAAATTAAAACTTCATCAGAGTACAAAACAAATTCCTTCCACAAAATAGATCGAAAAACCAACGTCAAAGACCTGGGAGTGATCATGTCGGAGGATCTCACCTTCAAGGACCATAACATTGTATCAATCGTATCTGCTAGAAAAATGACAGGATGGATAATGAGAACCTTCAAAACTAGGGATGCCAAGCCCATGATGACACTCTTCAGGTCGCTTGTTCTATCTAGGCTGGAATATTGCTGCACACTAACAGCACCTTTCAAGGCAGGTGAAATTGCTGGCCTAGAAAATGTACAGAGAACCTTCACGGCGCGCATAACGGAGGTAAAACACCTCAATTACTGGGAGCGCTTGAATTTCCTGAACCTGTATTCCCTGGAACGCAGGCGGGAGAGATACATGATTATATACACCTGGAAAATCCTAGAGGGACTAGTACCGAACTTGCACACGAAAATCACTCGCAACGAAAGCAAAAGACTTGGCAGACGATGCAACATCTCCCAATGAAAACCAGGGGTATCACTAGCGCATTGAGACAGTACAATAAGTGTCAGGGGCCCGAGACTGTTCAACTACCTCCCAGCATACAAAAGGGGGATTACCAATAGACCCCTGACTGTTTTCAAGCTGGCACTGGACAAGCACCTAAAGTCGGTACCTGACCAGCCGGGCTGTGGCTCGTACGTTGGATTGCGTGCAGCCAGCAGTAACAACCTGGTTGATCAGGCTCTGATCCACCAGGAGGCCTGGTCACAGACCGGGCCGCTGGGGCGTTGACCCCCGGAACTCTGTCCAGGTAAACTCTAGCTGCAGGAAACATTCCCAGCCGCAGGAAACATTTCCAGCTGCAGGAAACATTCCCAGCCGCAGGAAACATTCCCAGCCGCAGGAAACATTCCCAGCCGCAGGAAACATTCCCAGCCGCAGGAAACACTCCCAGCCGCAGGAAACACTCCCAGCCGCAGGAAACATTCCCAGCCGCAGGAAACACTCCCAGCCGCAGGAAACACTCCCAGCCGCAGGAAACACTCCCAGCCGCAGGAAACATTACCGCACCAGAGTAAATAATTTTTCTGTACGTTTACTAGGGCAAGTAAATGATAATGTTGTTTAATGGTGGACTGTTAAGATGATAAACACAGGATATACCTGTGTCTGATTCCCAGAGTTTTCCTCCTCCCTCAGCATTACCCTGGGCCAACCTTGCCATGGTAGTGTCACACAAGGAATATCTTCCCCAGAGTGCCACTAGACGGTACAGCTGATACACGGGGGGGGGGAGGGGGGGTCACGAGAGTGCCACAACACACGGGGTCATAAGAGTGGCATTACACACTTGGTCAGAAGTGCAACAACCCAAGGGGTCACATGAGGTGACCTAGTGCGAGCAGTGCCACACGGGAGGCACCAAACCAAGCGTTCTCCTATGCTTATTCATTCTTTGATTTCTTCCTCGTTATTTATCTTCATCTGTCTTTTTCTCCTCATCATCCTCTTTCTCTTTCTATTTCAGTTTCTCGCCTCACTTATATATTTACGTTCTTCCGTGTTATCTTTATCTTTCCTCGAGTTCTTATTTTCTTGTCTTTTGTCTCCTCTTCTTTTTGGTCTCCTCTTCTTTTGGGTATCCTTCTCTTCTTTTTGGTCTCTTCTTTTTGATCGCCTTCTCCTCTTCTTTTTGGTCTCCTCCTCTTCTATTTGGTCTCCTTCTCTTCTTTTTGGTCTCCTTCTCTTCTTTTTGGTCCCTTCTCTTCTTTTGGTCTCCTTCTCTCTTCTCTTTGGTCTCCTCTTCTTTTTGGTCTCCTCTTCTTTTGGTCTCCTTCTCTTCTTTTTGGTCTCCTTCTCTTCTTTTTGGTCTCCTTCTCTTCTTTTTGGTCCCTTTCTCTCTTTTGGTCTCCTGTCTCTTCTTTTTGGTCTCCTTCTCTTCTTTTTGGTCTCCTTTCTTTTGGTCTCTGCTTTGGTCTCCCTTTTTGGTCTCCTTCTTTGGGTTCCTTCTCTTCTTTTTTCTCTTCTTCTTATTGGTCTCCTTATTTTCTTTTGGTCTCCTTCTTTCTTTTTATACCTTCTCTTCTTTTGGTCTCCTTCTCCTTCTTTTGGTCTCCTTCCTTCTTTTTGGTCTCCTTCTCCCTTCTTTTGGTCTCCTCTCCTTTCCTGGTCCCTCTTACTTTTTGTCATCAATCTCTTCTTTGTTGGTCTCTTCTCTACTCTTTTGGTCTCTTATTTTTGTCCTTTCTCTTCTTTTTGGTCTCCTTCTCTCTTTTTGGTCTCCTTCTCTTTTTTTGGTCTCCTTCTCTTCTTTTGGTCTCTCTCTCTTTTGGTCTCCTCTCTTTTGGTTCTCTTCTCTTTTTGGTCTCCTCTTCTTTTTGGTCCTTCTCTTCCTTTTTGGTCTCTTTCTCTTTCTTTTGGTCTCCTCTTCTTTTTGTCTTCTCTTCTTTTTGGTCTCTTCTCTTTTTTTGGTTCTTTTTTCTCTTCTTTTTGGTCTCCTCTTCTTTTTGGTCTCCTTCTCTTCTTTTGGTCTCCTTCTCTTCTTTTTGGTCTCCTTCTCTTCTTTTTGGTCTCCTTCTCTTCTTTTTGGTCTCCTTCTCTTCTTTTTGGTCTCCTTCTCTTCTTTTTGGTCTCCTTCTCTTCTTTTTGGTCTCCTTCTCTTCTTTTTGGTCTCCTCTTCTTTTTGGTCTCCTCTTCTTTTTGGTCTCCTTTCTTTTTGGTCTCCTTCTCTTCTTTTTGGTCTCCTCTTCTTTTTGGTCTCCTCTTCTTTTTGGTCTCCTTCTCTTCTTTTTGGTCTCCTTCTCTTCTTTTTGGTCTCCTTCTCTTCTTTTTGGTCTCCTTCTCTTCTTTTTGGTCTCTTTCTTTTTTTGGTCTTCTCTTTTTTGGTCTCCTTTTTGGTCTCTTCTTTTGGGTCTCCTTCTCTTCTTTTTGGTCTCCTCTTCTCTTTGGTCTCCTTCTCTTCTCTTTGGTCTCCTCTTCTTTTTAGTCTCCTTCTCTTCTTTTTGGTCTCCTTCTCCTCTTCTTTTTGGTCTCCTTCTCCTCTTCTTTTTGGTCTCCTTCTCCTCTTCTTTTTGGTCTCCTCCTCCTCTTCGCTTTGGTCTCCTCTTCTTTTTGGTCTCATTCTCTTCTTTTTGGTCTCATTCTCTTCTTTTTGGTCTCTTATTTTTGGTCTCTTTCTCTTCTTTTTGGTCTCCTTCTCTTCTTTTTGGTCTCCTTCTCTTCTTTTTGGTCTCCTCTTCTTTTTGGTCTCCTCTTCTTTTTGGTTTATTTCTCTTCTTTTTGGTCTCTTTCTCTTCTTTTTGGTCTCTTTCTCTTCTTTTTGGTCTCCTTCTCTTCTTTTTGGTCTCTTTCTTCTTTTTGGTCTCCTATTCTTTTGGTCTCCTTCTCTTCTTTTTGTTCTTCTTCTCTTTTGGGTCTCCTTTTTGGTCTCCTGCTCCTCTTCTTTTTGGTCTCCTCTTCTTTTTGGTCTTCTCTTCTTTTTGGTCTCCTCTTCTCTTTGGTCTCCTCTTCTCTTTGGTCTCCTCTTCTTTTTAGTCTCCTTCTCTTCTTTTTGGTCTCCTGTTATTTTGGTCTTCTCTTCTTTTGGGTCTCCTTCTCTTCTTTTTGGTCTCTTCTTCTTGGTCTCCTCCTCTTCTGTTTGGTCTCCTCTTCTTTTTGGTCTCCTTCTTCTCTTCTTTTTGGTCTCCTTCTCCTCCTCCTCTTTGATCTCCTCCTCCTCTTTTTTTGGTCTCATCCTCCATCTCCTCTTATTCTGGTCTCCTCCTCCTCCAATGATGATCCTCTTTACGTCACTTGTTCTCTCTAGGCTACAAACTGCTGTACATTAACAGCCCCTTTCAGGGCGAGAGAAACTGAAGGTCTAGAGAATGTACAGAGGACCTTCAATGCACGTATAACTTCACTAAAGCACCTTAACCTTAATTACTGGGAACGTTTGAAGTCTCTTGACCCGTACTCCTTGGAACACAGGCGAGAAAGATACACCATAATGTACAGTTCCTCTCGGATTTTCCAAGTGTAAATTATACCTTTGATATACTAAAGGTAAAGGTATATCAAAGGTATAATTTACACTTGGAAAATCCTAGAGGAAATGGTTCCAAATCTTCACAAAGAAATCACTCCCTACGAAAGCAAAAGACCCGGCAGACGATGCAACATACTACCCACAATGAAAAACACATTAAGTGTCAGAGGCCCAAGATTGCTCAACAGCCACCCATCATACATAAGGAGGGATTACCTAATAGACCCCTGACTGTCTTCAAGAGGGAGCTGGAAAGATTGCTAAAGTCAGTACTTGACCAGACTGGCTGTGGTTCGTGAGTTCGACTGCGTGCGGCCAGCATTAACAGCTTGGTTGATCAAGTCCTAATCCACCGGGAAGCTTGGTCCTGGACCAGCAAGCCTGGGAGGCTTTGACCCCCGGAACACCCTCCAAGTAAACTCCGGGTAGATAGATCTCCCACTCCTCTTATTTCTGGCCTCCTTTCCCTTCTCTTATTCTTGTTTTTCGTCTCCTCCTCTCCCCATATTCTTGTTCTTTGTCCTCTTCCCTTCCCGTTTTTGGCCTCCTCCTCAATTCCTTGGAGTCTCCATCCTGCTGCTCCTGAGGCCCAGGCAACAACTGTGTCACTCAGTCAAGTCGATGAGTATTTCATGCTGATCTGTCAGGTGAATCTTATCTAAAAAACACGTTTTATCTTTGGCTTCAGATCTTGTGAAAGGTTGGTGAGGCTGCTCTCTCTCTCTCTCTCTCTCTCTCTCTCTCTCTAATACACCCCACCACCAGCCACACCAACAACAACGACTGAGGTACAGTGGGCACAGCAAACAGCGACTGTCGTGCCATTACAAGACCTGCCCTGCCAGATTTTGCCAGATTTTTACCCTGCCTTTACAAAATCTGCTTGCCCTTCCAACACTAGCCGTACCTTGCTCTATCTGTTCTGTTGCTCTATGCTCTTCCTTCCCCCTAACCCCCCCAGGTCTCTACTGGGGGCGCCAGCCCTTCCCCGTGGCACTGGTTACGAGGACATAAATGGTAGAAACTGAGGGTCTGGTAACGCCTCAATCCACCCCCGGGAGTGCCACATAGAGCCAAGTTCAGTGCCATCACCTGCCACCTCCCCCATAACCACTTACCCGGATTTTTACCACAGTAGTGCCAATACAGACTTATTTTACCACAGTGCCAATACAAACATTTTTTGGAAATAAATGGTATCAAATACCGACACAGTGGAAATATAAACACATATGCAGTATAATGTGATCCTTAATTGACAACGTTTCACCCACACAGTGGGCTTTTTCAAGTCACACACAGATCTGTGTGTGACTTGAAAAAGCCCACTGTGTGGGTGAAACGTTGTCAATAAAGGATCACATTATACTGCATATGTGTTTATATTTCCACAAACATTTTTTACCACAGTAGCCAATGTGTAGAACATTGTGAGTACTAAAGGTATCCAGTGTGTGGTACAATGTGAACAATAAACGTTGTTGTTGACTGGTTATTACATCACATAAGGTTGCACCAGACTAGCCATCGTCATCTGTTGCTCGCTCTTATTAACCTGACGTGTGAGGGACATGTCTCTCACTACATTTTTCCTTGCCTGTTTACAACCAAGTTGTTGCTGCCATAACAACATGGTTGATCTGGCACTTGTTTCACGTAAACACCAGTTATCGTCTCTTATGCAGGTTTCTGCACGTGTCTTAAGTTTATAAACAGTATTTATAGTAACAAAAATAGTGCTCCATAATTTTATTAATAATGTCATCAATTTTAGGGAGTGAAGTCACGGTGTGACTTCACTCCCTAAAAGCACCCACAAACTGATGACATTATTTACAAAATTACAAACACCTTATTTTATAAACCTGACATGAATACATAAACCTGCGTAACATCATCATAAACGTGATCACAGAACATAATAAACCCATTGGAAAAACATTACAAGTAACACTGTTGTGTATTCAGATTCAACCCGTCCCGTTGCATTGCCAGTGACGAGGAAACTTGTATTGGGATAAGAGACTGCGAGAGGCGAGTGGCACACACCATCAGCTCAGTGAAATAACAAGGTAAAGGTTCTCTCTCGTGTCCTCGTAGTAATATTAAACTTACATTAAGAACAAAAAGGGACAATACCGCGACTGGAACAATATACAAATAACTCGGACATAGGAGAGAGAAGCTGATGACGTTTTGGTCCGACTTGGACCATTTACAAGTCACACTAACACAAGAGTGAGGGAGCCTGTTCAGGCGAAACGGACAGGAACGGGACAAGCACAAAATTAGGTTCTATAATAAACACCTAAGGCTCTATAACAGGCACACAATGTCTAATAACAAGCACACAAGGTCCTATAAAAAAAACTACAATATCCTACAACACGTACACAAGGTCATAGAACAAATTCACAAGTTCGTATAACAAGATCCATCAATTTTTACGAGTCAAAGACAACATATATGTAACGTGTACACAGATTTTTACCAAGACTACCGGTATCAATATTCTTCTTTCCTCTGAGTCCGGCCATAGACTATGCTTTCCTATAGTCTGCTTGATCAACTAGACTGTTTCTGATAGCGGCCCTCAGTCACCCGTAGCCCTCACAACCTGGTTGATAAGACACCGCAGGAGATAGTCATCCAGTTTTCTCAAGAAAATTTCGTTGTGGTAATGTTTCTGATATCCGCTGGTAGCGGGTTGAGCAGTACTGGACCACGGTTCTGATAACTGCTGGTGACAGGTTAAAGGGTACTGGACCACGGTTCTGATAACTGCTGGTGACAGGTTAAAGAGTACTGGACCACGGTTCTGATAACTGCTGGTGACAGGTTAAAGAGTACTGGACCACGGTTCTGATAACTGCTGGTTACAGGTTAAAGAGTACTGGACTACGGTTCTGATAACTGCTGGTGACAGGTTAAAGAGTACTGGACCACGGTTCTGATAACTGCTGGTGACAGGTTAAAGAGTACTGGACCACGGTTCTGATAACTGCAGGTGACAGGTTAAAGAGTACTGGACCACGGTTCTGATAGCTGCAGGTAACAGGTTAACGAGTACTGGACCACGGTTCTGATAGCTGCTGGTGACAGGTTAAAGAGTACTGGACCACGGTTCTGATAACTGCAGGTAACAGGTTAACGAGTACTGGACCACGGTCGTGATAACTGCTGATAACAGATTAATGGATATTGAACAAGGGTGCCCATGGTACCCTTTTCTCCCACTGAGTTTATTCTACACTTCCTCCCATCCCTCCCACTCCTGTAAGTGGTTATGGTAGTATGCAAACTGGGGACCTGACTCTCTCGGGTATCTTCGACTGTGAAAACTAGTGAAATTCCAAGAGCTGTCGTGATTTCTCACATACCAAGGGACAGTTCCTTGATGATGTGAGAAATCACGAAAGTGCTTGGAATTTCACTAGTTTTCACAGTGATTGTTCTGCATATTGTGATATCACCTGTTTATTGTGATCTTACTGCATATATATATATATATATATATATATATATATATATATATATATATATATATATATATATATATAATGTCGTGCCGAATAGGTAAAACTTGCTACTTTTTACTTAAATAGCAACGCCCTTCTTGCCGAATAAGACAAGCGAAAATTTGTGTATGCAATAATTTCGCAAAAATCATTCTGAACCTAATGAAAAAATATGTTTCATTGTGTTTACTAAATTATTGCAAACTTATCTAAAATATATTTAGTTGGATTAGGCTAAATTAAATTATGCTTGTTATAATAAGATTAGGTAAGTTTCCTAAGGTTCTTTTGGTACAAAATTATTAATTTTTACATTAACATAAATGAAAACATTACTTCTTTCAAAGTATAAGAGAAAATCTTAGAAAGGTCTTAATTTTAAACGAGTTGTTGCTAACTGACCAGTTTTACCTATTCGGCACGATATATATATATATATATATATATATATATATATATATATATATATATATATATATATATATATATATATATATATATATATAAGTTACATATGTAATCTTGCGGGCCACTAACAGTATAGCTGGGTACTCAACTTTGAAACCTAGCTTCACTTCGGGATTCGTGGGTAGAATAACTCGTGAAACAAGTCACAAGTATGTGAAGCAATGGAACAAGACCCTGCCTGGAACAAGACCATGAATAGGTTCCTGGTACGAACCAAGAAATACTGAACAAAATTATACTGATAAAAGTGAGGTAAAGATGCGGCGAAAAGAGAGGGAAGGAGGAATGGAAGGATGGAAAGGAAGAGGGAAGTAGGGAGTGAGGGAGGTGAGGGAAACAACGGGAAGTGAAGTAGAGAATGAGGCAGGAAATGGGAAAGAGAGGAAAAAGTGTATGTGTATGCGTGTGTATGTGTGTGTGCTGCACTCGTGTATGCACTCGCTGAGAGAGGAAGAGGAGGAGAAGTAGTGTTGCCTGGCCTCGTCACAAGTGTGGTGTACACTGAGGCGGAAAGTCAGCGGAAACTTTGTTACTGTGACAGGTGTGTAGAGGACAGTGTTGAGCAGGTCTCCCGCTGCGCCTCTCCTGCCAGACACAGCACCCAGCACACACACACAGCATACACAGCACCCAGCATACACAGCACCCAGCATACTACATACACAGCACCTTTCACACACAGCACCGAGAACAAACCACACCGAGCACACACCTTACCTGTGGTAGCTTGGTTAATTCTATTTAAAGCTTACTGACGACACGAGGGTAATTATGGTTGTATGTCACCTGTACAGTTAACTGTATATACACTAAGCGCATACATCTCTCGGTATACATATCCTGTGTGGACCGGCTGAAGGGTTCTTATACCATTGCTAACCGGTTTGAGGCCAAACTTTCCTGATTACCTGATCAACTATATTGTTGCTGCTATCGGCCTACATGCCCACAAATCGACTGAGTTGGCACTTTCTGTAGGAAGCAGTCCGATTGCCTCTAAAAATTTTCAGTCTTAGTCGAGGCAATGTTTGTGGTATGTGGTGGTAGTAGGATGGATAATGAGAACTTTCAAAACGAGAGATGCCAAGCCCATGATGATCCTTTTCAAATCACTTGTTCTCTCTAGGCTGGAATACTGCTGTACACTAACATCTCCGTTCAAAGCAGGTGAAATTGCAGATCTAGAGAGTGTACAGAGATCCTTTACTGCACGTATAAGTTCTGTCAAGCACCTTAACTACTGGGAACGCTTGAAAGCACTTGACTTGTACTCGTTGGAACGCAGGAGGGAGAGATATATCATAATCTACACTTGGAAAATCTTGGAAGGAATGGTCCCAAATCTGCACACAGAAATCACTCCCTACGAAAGTAAAAGACTGGGCAGGCGATGCAAAATGCCCCCAATAAAAAGTAGGGGCGCCATTGGTACACTAAGGAAAAACACCATAAGTGTCCGGGGCCCAAAACTGTTCAACAGCCTCCCATCAAGCATTAGGGGAATTGCCAATAAACCCCTGGCTGCCTTCAAGAGAGAGCTGGACAGATACCTAAAGTCAGTGCCGGATCAGCCGGGCTGTGGCTCGTACGTTGGACTGCGTGCGGCCAGCAGTAACAGCCTAGTTGATCAGGCCCTGATCCATCGGGAGGCCTGGTCATGGACCGGGCCGCGGGGGCGTTGATCCCCGGAATAACCTCCAGGTAACCTCCAGGCTGAAGAATCTTGCAAAACGAAGGTTTATATTTTCCAATTGTAACTATGGTGTCCTCTGATTTTCACTGGGTTTATTTTACACTTCCTCCCGTGTTTGTCACCCCGGCTACGGTAGTGTGCAGGTTGACGGCCTGATGCTAAAGCATTTTCCATATACACATTATTAGGTATCTCTCTCTCCTCTGTGCTAGAGAGTACATTCCAAATACCTTATACCTTTACCTTTGATATACCTTTGATGAATTCCGAGTCTTTCTACTCCTGGAACCCGGCCATGGGCCAGGCTTGTCTGTTGTTTGCTGCTGCAAAAAGTGGCCAGCTGCCCCACATATCCATTACAACCTGGTTCCCAGTAATTTAAATGTAGTAAACAAACTCTATTCATTTTCTAGCTTTATCTCTCCTGCCTTAAACGTGGCTGTAAACACAAAAATATTTCAGACGAGAGAGCACAAGTGATTTGAATAATGTCATCATTGTCATGACTTCCTTTGTTCTCAAGG